CGAACACCCCCAGGCCTTCCCCATTCATTCACTTCAGGTTTGCAAAGCTCAGCCCCACTGCGGACCCCCCGCACACAGCCCCCCTCCAACAGCTCCACGCTCCATTTATCAGCCGTTCTCTGCTTGGGATGGGGAAACTGAGGCACCTCCAACCCCGCACCCCACACCAACCCCATCTCCCAGGGCAGAGCCCCTTCCCCAGAGCTGCGTTTTGTCCTCCCCGGAGCCTTCTTTTCTTGTAAATAAGGCCCTTTTTGGTAACTGCCCCTTTCCACTTTTCAGCGCTCAGGTTGCGCTCTCTGCGCCTTCCATCTCCGGGTGACTTCTCTTTCTTTCTTTCTCCAGATGAGTCAGCCTGCCTCTGTAGTGCAGCCTCAAGGGCAGCAGGGTTGGGGTTTGACTCACATTCCCCCCCCTTGGCACTGCTGCCTTTTGTTGTGGGGGCGATGGCCGCTGCCCCACCTGCTCCTTTTTGGGGCTGAAAGGCTTTTTGTGCCAATTCCCAGCGCGGCGCTGCGAAGCTCTGCGCCTGCACTGCTGTGGATGGGGAGTGCTGATGGCTTTTTCCTTTTTTCCCTGGGTTTTACTCATTTTTTGCCCCTCGTTGGCTGTTCCCACAAAGGTTTCTGTCTCGGTTGGGGTTGCAGGATCCCGATGCACAGAGCAGCACTGGGGGGAGAGGAAGGGTTGTCGTAGGGTCTGTCCTGGTTCAGATCTCCAACAGTGGCAATGCTGCAAACCATGGGTATGTCCTGCCCTCCTGTGCCACTTTTCAGTGGGATTTTGTGGTTTGTAAGGGGATTTTGTGGCTTGTAGTGCATCTCAAGGAATCCAGCCCATGGTTCCCTTGGTGCACAGGGTCATGGTGGCACCTCAGGGACATCCCCAGTCCCTCTGTTTTGCTGTGCCCTCATGCACCACCCCATCTCACCCCCTGCACACGGCACAGGGAGCACCCCCAGCCTGGTAGGCATTGGGATGATGCAGGAATGTGAGCCCCAAGGAGCAGCTCCCAGTTCTAGAGGGGGGGGAGAGGCAGAAGTCGCATGCCCGTGCCCCCCCCCCCCCTTCAGTCCTTTGCATGCTCTCCCCCTGCCCACCCTCTGCCCACACGCAGATAGCAGATAAGTTGTGGTTTGTGCTTTCATTTAAGGACTGGCTCTTGTTTACTGGGTGCGGGGTCACTTCTCCCCCCCCATGCAGCCACAAGTCCCACATTGAGGACAGCCCCCCCCCCCC